AGTTTTACCTTAGTCCTGAAAGTGACATCTTTGCTCTTTAACACTTTAAAGAGGTCTTTTGCAGCAGGTTTGCCCAATGCAATACATTATTTGATTTCCTCACTGCTGCTTCCATAGGCATTCATTGCGGATGCCATTAAAATGAAATCCTTGACAACTTCAAAATTTTCTCTGTTTATCATGTTTATTGGTCCAGTTGCAAGGACTTTTGATTTGTTCATGTTGAGGTGTAATCCATACTGAAGGCTGTAGTCATGGCTCTTCATCAGTAAGTGTTTCATGTCCTCTTCACTTTCAGCAAGCAAGGTTGTGACATCTGCATAACACAGGTTGTTAATGAGTCTTTCTCCAATTATGATGCTGTCTTCTTCTTCATATGGTCCAGTTTCTTGGATTCTTTGCACAGCATACATTTTGAATAAGTATGATGAAAGGATATCACACTGATACAACCTTTCCTGATTTTCAGCCACACTGTATGCCTTTGTTCTGTTCGAACGACTGCCTCTTGGTCTATGTGCAGGTTCCTCATAAGCAAAATCAAGTGTTCTGGAATTCCTTTTCTTTGCTATGTTATCCATAATTTGCGATGATCCACACAGTTGAAATTCTTTGCATAGACAATAAAACACAGGTAAACATCTTTCTGGTATTCTGTGCTTTCAGCCAAGATCCATCAGGCCTCAACAATGATACCCCTCATTCCACGTCCTCTTCTGAATCCAGCCTGAATTTCTGGCAGTTCCCTGTCAGTGTACTGCTGCAACCACTTTTGAATTATCTACAGGAAAATTTTACTTGTGTGTGATATTAATGATATTGTTCGATAATTTCCACATTCCATGGGATCATCTTTCCTTTGAATGCACACAAACATTCATATTTTCCAGTTGGTTGCCAGGTTGTTGTCTTCCAATTTTCTTGGCATAGACGAGTAAGCACCACCAGTGCTGCATCCGTTTGTTGAAACATCTCAATTGGTATTCCGTCAATACATGGAGCTTTGTTTTTCACCAATGCTTTCAGTGCAGCTTGGCCTTCTTCCTTCAATGTCATCGCTTCTTTATCATATGCTACCTCCTGAAATGGTTGAACGTCCAACAATTCTTTTTGGTAAAGTAACTGTGTATTTCTTCCATCTCCTTTTGATGCTTCCTGAGTTGTTCAATATTTTGGCCATAGAATCCTTCAATATTGCAACTCAAGCCTTGAATTTTTTCTTCAGTTCTTTCAGCTTCAGAATTGCTGAGCATGTTCTTCCCTTCTGGTTTTCTAACTCTAGGTCTTTGCACATTTCACTATAAGACTTTACTTTGTCTTTTCAAGCCGCCCTTTGAAATCTTCTGTTCAACTCTTTTACTTCATTGTTTCTTCCATTTGCTTTAGCTACTCAACGTTCAAGAGCAAGTTTCAGAGTCTCTTCTGACGTCCATTTTGGCATTTTCTTTCTTTCCTGTCTTTTCAGTGACCTTTTACTTTCTTCATGTATGATGTCCTTCATGTCATCTTACAACTCGTCTGGTGTTTTGGTCATTAGGGTTTAATGTGTCAAATCTATTCTTGAGATGGTCTCTAAATTCAGGTGGCATATACATACTCAAGGTTGCATTTTGGCTCTCGTGGTCTGGTTTTAATTTTCTTCAGCTTCAGCTTGGACTTGCCTATGAGCAATTGATGGTCCGTTCCACAGTCGGCCCCTGGCCTTGTTCTGACTGATGATAGTGAGCTTCTCCAACGTCTCTTTCCACAGATGTATTCGATTTGATTCCCATGTTTTCCTTCTGGTGAGGTCTACGTGTATAGTCGCCATTTATGTTGTTGAAAAAAGATATTTGAAATGAATAAGTCATTGGTCTGCAAAATTCTATCATGCGATCTCCAGCATCATTTCTATCATCAAGGCCATATTTCCAATAATGATCCTTCTTCTTTGTTTCTAACTTTCACATTCCAGTCACCAGTAATTATTTCTGCAATCTGAAATCGATGAAACATGCAATCAAGATGCACTGATGCATTGCTAACACTACATGTAAGGTATTTATATTAAATAGATTTGTATCTGAGGACTCTTGCTTGTCAAGTGGCTTGTCAGGCGTCACCCTAGGTAAATACAAGACTACCTGGCAGGCCTTGGGGGGAAGCTCTCCTTCCTAGCCAGACTTGGTTCACAGCCAATGCATTGCAGTCTCTGAAGGGAGTTGCAGTCAAGAACTCAGCTATGTCCCCCCTCCCCCCACTGGCCATGCTCTTGCATTTCTGGTGTATGGTGGCCTGATTATGGGGAGCTTTCCTAGAGGCCTTCCTCAGGGATCTGTGGGACAATAACAAAAGAGCCAACACTCCTTTCTTCGGAATCTCAGAAGGGGAGGAGATAAAGAGTGTGGGGTTGAAAGAGGATTGGAAGAAAGAATGGGTGGAACTTTCCCATATTTGGCAGAAAATAAATCCACAGATACGAGTTGTCCAAACCCCGAACAGGGGAAACACAAAGCAATCCACGAGTCCGGGTGTCAGAACTTGGCTCAGAATTCTGGAATTTTAAGGAGTTCTCCCAAGAAACCTCCCCACTTAGCAAAGTTAGAGACGCACTGACCCCTCTGAATGCCTTGAATGAAGTTTCTGCCCGCTCCATTATTATGGGGTGGAAAGGGGAGGAGCCTCACTGGATTCCAACCCTCGGCCCCACCCAACCCCGCCCCTTGGGCCTGGAGGCGGGGCTATATCATGGGCACTTCCTTTAGCAGTTTGGCGCCCAGAAGAATCCTGGGAGATCCCCAGCCAATCCTCCTTCTTCCTCCACGTGAGCTGTGGGCGGGCGAGCGCTGGCTGGAGAGCGGTGGGCACTGAGTCAGTGAGTCTTGCGGAGGCCGGAGGGGGTGGCTCGCCTGGGGCCACAGGCGCTGTTTTCCTGGCTCCCTCAGAGGCCAGGTTCGGATCACCCGAAGTGGCTGCCTCCAGGCCTACCCCGGGTGTGGGTTCAGCAGGGAGCGGCTGGGCCTTCCTGAGATTTCTCCAGGGCGGGTGGGCGCCCCTCCCTGCGGCAGGAGGCCACCGAGGAGCGCACGGGACCGCCCCAGCCACCTGCGTCTGATCTTAAACCAGATTTTCAACTTTTCCAGGACGTGTCCTACTGGCCGTCCCTCAAGTGCACTCTGCACACACTGCTTTATTCTTCGGCCCTGTGAGGGCCGGATCATTCCGGGGGTTCGGAGGAGAAACCACTGGACCCGCGTGAAGGGGACTTTCAATTCGGAGGGGCCGCTGGAAGGAGCCCTGGTATAGTCCATTCCCTGGTGAATGTGGTCGCAGGCTTGGGTCAGTGAGGGGAGGGCTGTCCAGTTGTGAGGCTGAGCGCGCTCACGGGTGTGTCCTCAGCCCGGTTCGGCACAATTCCTAGATGCCCTCAGGAGACGGTGAGGTGCCTGGGCTTAAGGAAATAGAAGCTTCGGAGGAACAAGCAGTAACCTTACTCTGTGCCAGGCACGCTGCTATTCGCTTCCATGCAATTGCAGCCAGACGGCAAATTTTATGAAGTACGTGCTATTGTCGTTCTCATGTTAGAGCCCACGGCACTCCGTGTCACCTAAGTCACTTGCCTGGGCTACACAGCTAGTGGGTAACTCAAACCTGGATTTGGCTCTGTCGCTAAAGTTCAGGCTACCTTCATAGCAAGGGTGAAATGAGGGCATTGTGTCAATTTTGGATGAGTAGGTGCGGAGAGTCTGGAGCACCTTTCCCCCGCTTGTTTTCCACTGGAACAAAGAGGAAAGTTGCGCAGAAAGTCATGGCAGATGCAGGTCTTGAAACCTGTTGAGACGTGTGTGACCCGCCTCTATGACCTCAGAGATAGCCCTAAGAACATTTTGATGAAAGCCTCTTGGAATGTTATTGCAAGGAGTCTGCACGGAGATGTTAGGGGAATGACACATGCCTGGAGATGAGAAGTATGAGGGGTTGATGATGATTTGCTGCTCTTGCAAAGCACTGTTCCAGCTAAGGTTCCTTTGACTGAAGGCTATTAAAGGCTACTTAATGCTAGATGTGATGCAGTGGTTAAGAGCTACGACTGCTACACAAAAGGTCAGCAGTTCGAATCCACCAGGTGCTCCTTGGAAACCGTGTAGGCAGTTCTACTCTGCCCTATAGGGTTGCTATGAGTCGGAATTGACTCGGAAGCAGCGGGTTTTTTTTTTTTTTTTTTTTTTTTTTAATGCTAGATGGCAAGCCCTGTTGGCGCAGTGGTTAAGCGTTCAGTTGCTAACCAAACGGTCGGAACTTCAAATCCACCAGGGGCTCCTTGGAAACCCTGTGGGGCAGTTCTGCTATGTCCCATAGGGACACTATGAATCTGAATCAACTTGACAGCAGTGGGGTTTTAATGCTAGATGGACCTCCAGTTATTCAAGCTTATCATTAGTATTCCTCCTCCATTTTTTTTGAGGTCAATCTCTACTCAGAAATACAAAACAGTTGGAATTAAATTTGTAGTGGGGTTGCAGTCATCTGCACGGGGTTCTGGAAGGGCAGGTGTTCTTCACCAGAGATCCTTGGAATTCTAGAGCAGAACTGCCCAGTAGAACTTTCCACTGGTGAGCGCCTGAGATGTGGCTAGTGTGACTGAGGAACTGAATGTTTATTTTAAATTTTAACTTAAATCATCGCGTGGGTGTTGTACCTACCAGGACAGCGCAATTCTAGAAGGTCCATGGATGGCCTTGGAGATTTTGTAAACCTTTTGAAATTGTATTAATGTTTGTAGAATTGGATATGGATGTCTCATTTTCTTGAGAGTGAGTCCACACATTTCATCAGATTCGTAAAACCACCAAAAAGATTAAGAACTTCTGTTTTACGGCTTTGTTGAAATGTAAGGTAAACCAGTAAGTAAGTATGCCCTCTCATAACCACTGCTGTTTCTACTTTCTTGTATTTTTCTGTCCTCAGCTATAGGTGACTCCTCGAATATTAGATAAGTTCTAAGCTGCTAGAAGGGAGCGATGGCTGTGGCCCTGGGCTGTGCAATCCAGGCCTCCTTGAATCATGGCTCCACGCTTAAAGAGTATGATACTGAGTATGAAGTCTTCCGTCAGCGCTTCAGGCAGTTCCAATACCAAGAAGCAGCCGGGCCTCGTGAAGCTTTCAACAACCTCTGGGAGCTTTGCTGTCAGTGGTTGAAGCCAACGATGCATTCTAAGGAAGAAATCTTGGAGCTGCTAGTGTTGGAGCAATTCCTAACTATTCTGCCCTCGGAGATAGAGACCTGGGTAAGGCTGTACCGCCCAGAGAATAAGGAAAGAATTCTGGCACTGATAGAAGACTTACAGAGAGAACTTGAGATACCAGAGCAGCAGGTGAGAAAAGAAGGTGGGATCTCTGTCATTAGAGAAAAAGAAGTAGCAGAGGCAGCTGGGACTAGCTCAGATGTCTGGTCTTTGTGTTATTCTTCACCCCCAAGTCTGTTTCACTTTTTTCTTCTGCTGGACTCAGCATATGAGTCAGTGGTTCTCAACGCTAGACCCAAACCCAATCTATAACAGTTAGTTGGTGATGTCCCCTTAACTGTCCTGAAGTGAAGTTCAGAGAAAACGTAACCTGTACGCATACATCAGATAAAAAACATCAATATAACATTCCATGGCCTTGGGGCTTAATCCAGCCCGGGCCTGTTTTTGTTCAGCCATGAGCTAGTAGTGGTTTTTACCTTTTTAAGGGGTTATTAAAAATATATATATTTGACAGACCGAACGTGGCCCACAAAGACTAAAATATTTCCTGTCTGACCCTTTCCAGAAAAAAACTTGACAACCCTAAGTCAAGCAGAGTCTAGCTGAAATCTAAAGCAACAGTAAAAGGAAACTAATTTATTATACACTAATGGTGTCACTGTGAGTAGGAACCGACTGGACAGCAACCCCCACCACCAACAATGTGTATTTCAGTATATACCTAATGAAGACCTGATGAAGTTGTCAGATGCTTGCATCTCTGCTTAGAATCACTGTGAATGCAACAGCCAGCAATTCAGGCTGATATAGCTCAAATACTGTGAGCACTGTTGCTGCTGGTCATGTGATTTTCCAAACAACTCTTGGTAAAGTTCTGAGCAAAAAAAAACTGTATACCCTTCCTTTGATTTTCACAGTAGTACATTCCTAGAAAATTCAAGTTATGTTAAAACTATAAAGATATTTGTAGTTATATAACCAAGAGGGTGAGGTTCTTGACAGATTCTTTTTATATATATGGATGCCTGAGGGAGACAGTCCAAAGTTGTTTGGGACGTGGAATAATTCTGCATTGTGAATATTATTCCCATCCCTGGCGCAGTAGGCTGCAATAGCCTCCACCTGCCATCATATCCAAAATGCCTTGGACGGGTGGAGGTGGCAGTGTCTTCTGTTGAGAACCCCCCTGTGAAACCTCTGGGGAGCCTCCTAGCTGAGCCCAGGCCAGGATCTTCGGGAGAAGGCATGCACTGCTTCTAGGTGGGCATTAGGGGCACTGCAGTGTGTGCGTTGGTGGGACTCTGCAGTAGCTGTGAGCGTCAGGGCAGGTGTCCCGCCCTAACAGGGGTCCTGCCCTAACAGGTCTTCTGAAGTGTTGTACTGTCCTAGGATGGAAGGAGTTTGTGGTTTCCCACCTTTCTCTCTCTTCTGGGTTTTGCTGATTAATTTAGACTTTAGCTTCATATGGTCTAGACTTGTGCTGCACAGTACAGTAGCTGCTAGCCACATGTGACTGCTGAGCTCTTGAAATGTGGCCGTTCCACACTGACATACATGTAAGTGTAAAATCTACAACAGAACCCAAAGGCTTAGTGTGAAAGATACCTCATTAATAATTTATATTAATTACATGTTGAATTCATGACATTGTGGATATACTGTGTTAAGTAAAACATGCTATTAAGATTGACCTCTGCTGTTTCTTTCTATTGTTTTCATGGCCACTAGAAAATGTAAAATTACATGTGTAGCTTGCATTGTATGTCCACTGGCAGTGCTGGTCTAGACGTCAGAGCGATGGGTTCTGTCATGTCCCCCAGGTCGGTGGGCAGGAAATGCTCTTGGAAGAACTGGCACCAGTGGGAACAACACACATACCACCAGACATCCAACTGGAGTCACCAGACATCCAACTGGAGTCACCAGACATCCAACTGGAGTTACCTGAGCTTCACGTCCTAGGACCTTCCCAGGAGGCCACAGTGACAGAGGAGTGGATCCCACAGGCAGGGCCACAGAACCCGACAGATGGTGATGTTAGGGAATGCCAGCCCTTTTCCGAGCCAGGTAAGGCAAGGGGCTTATGTCGCTTCTTCTGTTTCTGTTCTGAGAGAGCAAGAGCTCTCTGGGGTTGGGCTTAGGGTTAGAAACACTGATTACACAGTGGAAATGGACCATTCTGAGAAAGAGGAGGAACAAATTATCTCTGGGAACAGCAGGGAACAAAGCAGTTAGAGAAAATGGAATTAGGAACCCATTAAGCTAATGACCCTGCTCAGAAGACTTTGCATCTGGAATTTTATACAGGAAAACTATGGGAAGTTAGATACTCTGGATAAGGACTCGTTTCCCCCAGCAAATTTTAATCATTGGGATGTGCGATGTTGTGGATCCTGAGGAATTTCTATCACTCTTGGGTCCTCCTCACTTGCTTTTATGTGATAAGAGCTTCAAACTTAATACTTAGAGTAATATACACTCCCCTCAGAACCTTGAAAGGGGCTTCACCACTTACAAAGTTATGAAAACCCCTTGCCGTCGAGTCAATTCTGACTCATAGCGGCCCTATAGGACAGAGTAGAACTGCCCCATAGGGTTTCCAAGGAGCAGACGGTGGATTCGTACTGCTGACCTTTTGGTTAATAGTCGAGCTTTTAATCACTATGAAAGACATATCTATATTATTAAATCAAAACCTTTGAGAGCTGTGTTTCTCAAAGTCAGTAAACTGACTGTCAGCATCCAAATCCCCTGGGATGCGTGTCTCACAGGCTGCCCAGTGAGTGAGATGCATGATAATTTAAAGCTTGAGAACCACTGGCCCAGGCGCCACAGGGTTAGTAATGGAAGGAGAATGTCCTGATGGGGAAAGGCAGCGGGACTGCATAGCCTGGTTGCCCCGTGTGTCACTTCCCTGTGGGGTTTTACACTGTTTCAGGTGCTCCCGTCCCCACACTCCCCTACAAAGCATTGGCCCAAGTGTGGCCAGAAACCTCTCCCCAAGTTCCCCAGGCACAACTGCAGCAGACTGACACTTTGAAGAGACTGTGAAATACTGAGAAAACAGTAAAAAGTGGAAATAAGTTGCAAACAGTCCCAGTTACAAAACATAGGCTTCTGATCCATCCATTACTGGCTCACTGCCAGCACTCAGCAACCTTGTCCCTTTCCACATCTTCACATTTAGTCATTCGACAAACGTATATGAACAGCTGTTAAGAGCCAGGCTGTGTGCCAGACGCAAGGTTATCGGTAGTACACAAGACTGACACAGCCCTCCTGAAGCTTACAGTCTGCGGAAGAGTCAGATATGTAAATAGGAACCGTAAAGTGATGTGGTAGAGGGAGTAGGATGCTATCAGTGTGCATAGCAGGACCACCTAACCAGTCTTTGGAAGAGAAGGAAGACTTCCTGGAGGACGTGGGATCTAGGATAAAACCTGTAGGATGAGTAGGAGTTCACCTGATGAGTGGTGGAGTGGGGAGGGGAGAGGGCTCTAGCAGAAGGAACAGGATGTGCAGAGGCACAGAAAGCATGCATATTTGAAGAATGGAGAGTAGTTCAGCCAGGCTGCAGTGACAGGGCAGCAAGGGGGAGAGGAGAGGTAGTGGCGGCATATGAGCCTGGAGAGACAAGCAGGCGCCTGGATGAAGAAGAACTTTTTCAGCCTTGTTGAGGAGTTTGTGCTTTATTATCAGGGCAGTGGGGAAATTGGAAGTTCTTAAATCAGGGAATGATATAAACAGATTTGCATTTTAGATCACTTGGGATATAGTAAGAGCGGGTAAGCCTGGAAGCAGGGACACCATTTAGTAAGTTGTTGCGGTCATCCTGGTAAGAGACACTAATTTCCTAAACCCTATTATTCACTGACATAGAGAACACAGAGGAGGCAATTTGGTGGGTCAAGGTGAATTTAGACTGGATCATGTGGAGCTTGAGATGCTTATTATGGGTGTCCGGATGGAAATGGCCAACGTGGAATGGAGCTCAGGAGAGAGATCAGGGTTCAAGGCAGCAATTTGCGAGTCAAAGGCTTATAGAAGGTGACTGAAGTCTCGAGGGTAGTCCAGATCTTCCAGGGATGGTACAGAAGGAGAAAGCACAAGGGCCTGTAGGCAGACCCTGCAAGATAGCATGCCAGATAACATAATTATACTTGAATTCAAAGATCTGTACAACTTTTCAGGTACCTTGCCTGGGTTTCTTGCTTCCCAGTGCCCTCTAGTCATATGAGAACTGATCTGTTGGATACTTTACTGCATTTTCGCTCAAAGCCAAGGATCTTCAGGCTCTGATGCTTACCTAAGGCTTTCTCCATCTCTGCTGGCTTCCATTGTGAGAGCCATCTCCCTCTCCTTGTGCCTGGCTGACTGTGGTGAAGGGCACAGTGAATAATCTCACCTTTCAGGGGAGACTCCTCCCTCCGCTTGGAGAGAGGGGTTTGGTCCCTTCTAGACCTACCACTAGGGCCTATTGGAGATTGAGTGGAAAGCACAAGATGCTGACAGAGTGGGGAAAAAAAGAAAAAAATTTAAAATCATTGAAGAATTCAATTGATTGTGGAAGTCTGGATTATATTCCCTGTCAGCAGGAAGTTAGCTTGTGGCTATATACGTAATGAATATGTATGTACATATGTAATGAATATATGTATATAGTCATCACAAAAGAAAGAACTAAGATACGTATACCGTTTGTATTTTGGGAACATTTTCTGTTAGCTAATAACTGACAGAAAGTTGCATACCTAGTAATGAACTGCAAACAAAAGCTAAATCCCTTTTTGGAACATGGCATGGCATAAATTAATGTATTATTGAGAACTGCATGTCTATGAATCACTTTAACAGCTGTTTGTGAAAAGCTCTGCCACACTTAGACTCCTGTCATTTGGAAAGGAGCTAATGGAGATAATCAAAACAAGATTGAATAGAGGGAATTCAAGACAGCTACTGCAATATGAGTGTCTACACTTGGTTAAAACAATGATTTAGCCTTCAGTGAGAGGATAAACAAAAGAATTCTTCAAAGAGAGGTCAGAAATGAAGGTCAGACATCAGATAGTATTTGGTTATGCTATTAAGATAGGATTATCATTTTCATCCTTATCTAAAGGAAATATATGTAAGGTAGAAACAATATCTTGTAAATATTGCAGGATGAAAATTCATTATATCAGGTAATGGAAATGCCAGAAATGAAAAAAAAACATTCAAGAGTTTGCAGGGCTCACTAGCAGGAAACCTATAAAATATAGAATACAAAATAAATTTGCATAGTGAAAACAGCAGACTGGGAAAAGATGCTGAGGTGAATGTTATACAACCTGTGAAGAAATGCATTTCTGCAATGGAACATGATCTAAGAAAGACGTAAGCTAAAAAAAAGAAAAAGTTCCTCATCTGAATTCAAGCCAGGCACTTCTAGATGCAAGAAGTAGCTAATAATATTAACATTTCCATAGGTGTAGTGGTTAAGAGCTTGGCTGCTAACCAAAAGTTCTGCAGTTTGAATCCACCAGCCGCTCCTTGGAAACCCTAAGCAGTTCTACTCTGTCCTATAGGGTCACTATGGCAACGAGTGGGTGTGAAGTGGTATCTCTGTTGTGGTTTGATTTCCATTTCCCTAATGACTAATGATGTTGAGCACCTTTTCATGTTCTTATTGGCCATTTGTATTGTTATTTTGGAGAAATGTGTCTTCAGTGTTAGGAGGTTTTGATTCCTGATTCAATCTCTTTACTTGTTTTAGGTCTGTTGAGATTTTCTGTTTCTTCTTGAGTCAATTTAGGTAGTTTGTATTTTTTCTAGGAAATTGTCCATTTCTTCTAGGTTATCTAATTTGTTGGAGTATAGTTGTTCATAGTATTCTCTTACAATCCTTTTTATTTTCTGTAAGGTTAGTAGTAATGTCCCCAGTTTCCTTTCTGATTTTAGTTATGTCTTCTCTCTTTTTTGTTTGTCAGTCTAGCTGAAGATTTGTCAATTTTATTGATCTTTTGAAAGAACTAACTTTTGGCCTCCTTGTTTTAATTTTAATTTTCTCTATTTTTTTTCTGTTCTGTATTTCATTTCATTTCTCTCTGCTCTAATCTTTATTATTTCCTTTCCTTCCAGTAACTTTGGGCTTGGTTTGGTCTTCTTTTTCTGGTTCCTCAACGTGCAAAGTTAGGTTATTGATATGAGATCTTTCTTCTTTTTTAATGGTATTTACACCTATAAATTTCTCTCTGAACACTGCTGTCTTGGTTATCTAGTGCTGCTATAACAGAAATACCACAAGTGGATGGTTTTAAAAAATAAAAACTTATTCTCTCACAGTCTGGGAGGCTAGAAGTCCAAATTCAGGGCATCAGCTCAGGGGAAGGCTTTCTCTCTCTGTTGGCTCTGGAGGAAGGTCCTTATTATCAACCTTCTCATGGTCTAGGAGCTTCTCTGTGTAGGAACCTCAGGTCCAAAAGTTGCGCTCTGCTCCCGGCGCTGCTTTCTTGCTGGTAGGATGTCTCCCTGTCTCTCTGCTCGCTTCTCTATTTTATATCCCGAAATAAATTGGCTCAAGACACAATCCAATCTTGTAGGTTGAGTCCTGTCTCATTAACATAACTTCCGCCTATCCCACCTCATTAACATCACAGAGACAGGATTTACAACACATAGGAAAATCACATCAGATGACAGAATGGTGGACAATCACACAACCATGGCCTAGCCAAATCAATACACATATTTTGGGGGGACACAATTCAATCCATGACACTGCCCTCCCTGCATCCTATAAGTTTTGGTATGTTGTACTTTCATTTTCATTGAATTCCGTGTATTTTCTAATTTTTCTTTTACCTACTGGTTGTTTAATAGTGTGTTGTTTAATTTGCATATATTTGTGAATTTTCCATTTTTTCTCCTTTTATTTATGTCTAGCTTCATCCCTTGTGTTTGGAGAAGATATTTTATATGATTTCAATCTTTTAAAATTTATTGAGACTTGCTTTGTGACCTAACATATGATCTCTCCTGGAGAATGATCCATGTGCACTGGAGAAGAGTGTATATAGTGCTGTTGTTGGGTGGAATGTTTTATATATGTCTGCTAGGTCTGGTTGATTTATAGTGTTGTTCAATTCCTTTATTTCCTTGTTGATCTTCTTTTTAGATGTTCTGTCCATTATTGAAAATGGTATACTGTCCAGTTCCTATATTTTGATATAGTTTTCTTAAGTTAAAATTTTCCTTCAGATTAACATTAGCCAATGTAATGTTCTAATATTATTTTAATAATGCTATTAGTATTTAAACATGGTCATAGGTATAGCTCTTAAATCAGTATTTTCCAAACTTTGCCAGAGGTAAGGAAGAGGGAGGAATGTGGAAAGAGGATTCAAGCTACAGTTGCTATCAATAAGGAAAGAGGTAGCAGGGCACAGGGAGAGAGAAATTTTCCTTGTCTTTATACTGATGGTTAATTTCAACTCAATACACTTCTGTACTTCAGCTTAATCAAAAATACAAAGATGGTTTTTGCTGGTTGGCAACCCAGTTTAGTTACCATTTTAATCTGAACATCTCTTAACTGAATTTTGGAGCCCTGGTGACTCAGTGGTTAAAGCATTTTTGGCTGCTAACTGAAAGGTTGGCAGTTTGAATCCACCAGCTGCTCTGCAGGAGAAAGATGTGGCAGTCTGCTTGCATAAAGATTACAGCCTTGGAAACCATATGGGGAAGTTCTGCTCTGTCCTACAGGGTGGCTATGAGTTGGAATTGACTCAATGGCAGTGGGTTTTTATCTGAAATTATTCTAGTAAACCATTTCAAAACGACCACTTTTACCTCTTTCTCTTCACTTGGTACTGAAGAACCCAGTGTTTCTCAGTTTTAATATGCCAAAACTTTAGAATATTTACTTCATGGTTTTTTTTCTAACCTAAATAATTCAATATCAAAATAGATGTAGAACTAATGCAGTGCATTGACATCAACACACAGAATCAATTTACTCCACTTCCATAGATATTGGAAAAGTTCTTTGACTTGAGGAGGAAAGGATATTCCCTTCATTTTGGTTTTGTTCTTACAGTTATAAAAACACTTGTCAGGGCGTCCAGGTGAAGTAAACCTAATTGAGGAGGTTTAGATACGGAGAGACCATTTTCCAGGAAATCACCCTGAATTGCAGAAAAGCGGGTGGTGACTCAAACCATCATGCTTCCATCTCTGTTTTGGCCAGAATATCCCATACCAAATCCTGACCTGAGCTTCCCATTGGAGCATAGAGAAGATCCACGGGTGAAGGAATTACAGGACTCCAAAGAAACAAAACAATTACTTTACTCCAAGATAGGTAAGTAATTGCTAATTGAATACTAGAAAAGAGAGAAAAGAAAAATTCAGCCTTAATCAGAGTAAAGAACTTTGGGATTCTGTGTAGGGTTTTCTATCTTCTCACTAGTGGTTTACTGTAATGCTTTTTTTCCTCACTTTCTATTTTCTTTGGAACACTGTGACATCTGAAATATCTATTTCTTCTCTCAGATTTTGAGATTGGGAGAGAAAATGAAGAATATTCTTCACAACAGAAAACAATGGAGAATACATATGCATTTGTTTTTACTTTTGAGGGGAATATTTTCCGTGGTCCCAATTTACAACAAGTCTGTGGACAATTAGAAAATCAATGGGGAAATCCCCCAAAGGAGTTACAGTTATCAAAGCTTTTAGATTATCAGAAACACCCTCCAGGAGAGAAATCTGAGAGCAACAACATGGAAGAATCTTTCAGTCTTGGACCGCATCAGCAAGAGAATGCAGGAAAGAAACTTCACCCATGTTCTAAGTGTGGAAAATGTTTTGCTCAGAGGTCACAACTTAATGGGCACCAGAAAATTCATTCAGGAGAGCAACCTCACAAGTGTCCTGAATGTGGGAAAAGCTTCCTTCATAGTTCAGACTTTTACAGACACCAACGATTTCATACAGGGGAGAGGCCCTATGAATGCACCATATGTAAAAAGCGATTCACTAGAAGGTCACACCTTACAGGGCACCAGAGAACCCATTCTGAAGAAAAAATATTTAAATGCCTTCAGTGTGGGAAGAGTTTCTGTTATGGAGCAAGTCTTACGAGACATCTGAAAACTCATACAGGTGAAAAACCTCATAGATGTGGTACTTGTGGGAAAGGCTTTATTCAACAGTCAGCTCTTACTTTGCACCAGAGAACTCACACTGGAGAGAGACCTTTTAAATGTAATTACTGTGAGAAAAGCTTTAAACATAAGCCAACCCTTGTTATTCATTTAAGAATTCATACAGGGGAGAAGCCATACGAGTGTAGCTATTGTTCTAAAACCTTCAGACAGAGATCAGGCCTTATTATGCACCAAGCCTTTCACTTTAGACAGGAGTTCTTTAAGAAATGTTGAGGGAAACAGGTCCTATAGAAATTGATACTAACTCATAAAAGTCTTAACCTACAACAGCTTATTTGTCTTGAATGAACAGTTTTGTTTGAGCTATATGAACAGCTTCCCCCCACTTTTTAAACCCATCTTCTTCCAAGGCATATGAGTTCTAGAATATCCACCTAAAGTTGATTTGTTATGTCTCCACAGCTCTTATTTCTTCATTACAATGAAAATTTTTGTGCCCCAAGCCAACCATATGATAAGTGTAATTGTAAAACATACAAATGATGGCATTTCTCTGAGGTCTACAGTCAATATAACATATTCTCAGTAACCATAGATGTGCCCAATTGATGCAAATCTAATATTTTAGTTAAGTGTGAATGTATATGTCCTTCTTGTTTCAATCTCATTAACTAATAGTTTGAACAATTTAGAGCTGCATCCCTGAACTAGCAACAAGCACTGCTGTGACCTCCCAATCTGTATCATAAACACACATGACTGGATTTGTGCAGGATCAAGAACATCTATTCATATCTTCATCTATTACCCCCCAAAAAACCTATTGCTGTCAAGTTGATTCCAAGTCATGGCAACCTCATGTGTTGTGGGGTGGAACTGCTCCATAAGGTTTTCTTGGCTGGAATCTTTACAAAAGCAGATCGCCAGGCCTTTCTTCCACAGCACCACTGGGTGGGTTCAAACCACCAACCTTTAGCTTAGTAGTCGAGTGTAAGCCATTTGTGCCTCCCAGGGTCATCCATTAATTACAGCGCCCTGTATATACTAAAGAGGAGCTCTGGTGGCACAGTGGTTAAGTGCTCAGCTGCTAACCAAAAGGTCAGCAGTTCAAACCCACCAGTCACTCCAAGGGAGGAAGATGTGGCAGTCTGCTTCTGTAAAAATTTACAGCCTTGAAAACCCTATGGGGTAGTTCTACCCTGTCCTGTAGGGTCACTATGAGTCAGAATTTACTCGACAGCAATGGGTTTGGTTTTGGTTTGGTATATATTAAGCTTTAATAGCTAACCCATGGCATTGAATCAAGAAACGTGAAATATTTCTTGAAAACGGGTAACATAGAACATTGTATAGTTATGCCTAGTTATACTTTTGAGCATTTCAAGAAGATAAGGGCAAAAAAGTACCCATCTTATTAAGTACTATGAAGGGCAAAAAAGTGCCCACCTGATAATACTATAAAAGCTGTCAACAAATCTTTGTATATTGTATTTTCATTCTTTGTTGCTTAATGATACAAACATTTAAGTTTGTGGATTTTCCTCTAAGTCTAGCTTTGGTCACAGTCCATAATTTTATACACACACACACACATACACAAAACACACACACATATATATGAAGCTAAGTTGCTGTTGAGTCACTTCTGACTCATGGTGACCCCATTTATGTCAGAGTAGAACTGTGATCATAGGGTTTTCAATGGCTGATTTTTTGGAAGTAGATCGCCAGGCCTTTCTTCTGAGGTGCCTTGGGTTGGCAGCTGAGCGTGTTACCATGTGCACCACCCAGGGACACACACTCTGTATATATATTTTTGTATATATATATATATATATGTATGTATATATAATGTTCTTATTGATGATTTCAAAATCATTTATTGTTGCAGTTTTCATTGTATTTTCTTTTTGACCCACGAGTTAGACGATGCTGACATTACCATATTGTGATTAGAAATATCAAACTTCTTAACACATGATTTTGACAATCTGTGCTCTTATCAAATACTATTCTTTCCTACTAAAATACCTCCCCCCTTTTTTCATCCCCTTTTACTAAGCCTAGTATACTCCGTTTTACCCTTGAAACCCAGTTTAAGGGTCTTATCTTTTGGGAAGTCTTTTTTTTAGCTTCCAAATTTGATTTAACTATGGTGTCTCTGCCCTAATAGCATTCTTTAGTAAACTCTCTAGTAGCACTTTTCTCAAGCTGTAATTGCTAGTTTACATGTCTGCCTTCATTTACAGTATGCTGTTTTGTACTCAGTGATTGCATTCTATTCAATGTTTGCATCCTCGGTACTAGACCCAGAACCTGCCTCATAGCAGGAACCTGGAAAATACTTTTAAAGAAATTAACATCCAGCACTTCTCAGGCCCCTCTACCATTAAATCCAAAAAGACAAATTGAACCATCTTTGTTTTGAAAACAATTTATGGAGGCCAGTATTTTTAGATTTAGTTTTATTGAACTTTCTACTTGTTGCTCTCTTAATCAAGTTGGATGATTAATAGGTGACACTGCTATTGAAATACGTATGAAACTGACTTATATTGTTTATTCATTTGCTGTGACCTTGAAGTCTATTGTGAGGTCCCAGAAGGCAGGGATGACATTTTATTAATTGTTTCACAACCAGTGCCTGGCACACAAAAGAGAATGTTTATTGAGTAAACACACACACACACACATCCTTGTTTTTCTGATTTACCTCTCTTTGTAACAGAGCTGAGAATGTTTCTCTTTTTTTGTCATATATCTTGGGTCCCTTCTCCTTTGCATCTCCTCAAACCCCTGTTTTCACATTTATCCTCTTACTCGCCAACTATTTTTTAAATTTCCCATGTAGTCATTAGGAGGATATATTTGCAAAACCTTTATATGATAATTTCTCCAATAAGGCTGTAATTTCCCAAACATACAAACAGCTCTAATGTCCCTAATATATAAATATCTCTAAGAAAAGGAAAGTTGTTCTATCCTCACTAACATTTACAGGAATGCAAAACTAAGTTATGAGACTGCTTTTCACTTTTCAGATTGGCAAAAATTGATAATATTCCCATCCTTACCAGTATTGGCAAAGGCCTCACACCCTACTGCTGACAGTGAAAATTAGTATGTTAGAGCTGATGGATAATTTGATATTCATGTAAAATGGTAAATATTAGGACTATGGTAATTGTTGCACAACTCTGTAACTTTACTAAAAAAATTCATTGAATTGTATTCTTACAAAGGAGAATTGTATGATGTGTAAATTATACTTCAATAAAGTTATTTTAGAAATGTTTACAATGCATGTCATTTGACTTAGAAATTCTACTTCTATGAATGCATACTATAGAAAATGTTTTTTTTTTTTACCTGAAAAAAGAAGTTGCAGGATAGTAGAGAGCACCCTAATCCCCAGATCAATTTGATGAAGAAATGTGTATTTGGCATTGCTCAGATGAGTCATTCATTCTCAGATGACTATGCCCCAGCGTCCAAGCAAACTGAGCCCAGCCTGAGTTTTGAGGCCCTAACAGAAGCTCGACTGCTAACCAAAAGGTCGGCAGGCAGTTCGAATCCACCAGCTGCTCCTTGGAAACCCTGTGGGACAGTTCTACTCTGACCTATAGGGTCGCCGTGAGTTGGCATCTACTCCATTGCAACGGATTTGAATTGTGCTTTTGTTTTTGTTTTTAATGAAAGCAAAAGCTAGGCTGTTCCACGATACTTATGGTAGCATCTAACATTGCACAGAAAGCCCTTACTCACAGCTAACCCCTGAACTCTGCCCTGGGGAGCAGGGTGCTGGAGGCAAAGGGAAAGAAGATAATCCCTGAGCCAGTGAAATGTGGGGGCTGGACCCCTCCGAGCCAGAGCCTGGCCCGCCTCCGGCCAATGGCCAGGTTGCTCCCGACTTCCCAGATCTGGCATCAGGCCCTTCCAGCAGAACCCCACAGACTGGACCCTCTATTCTGGGGATGCACACATAAGCCTCAACCAGCAGCAGTTTCCCGAAGCCCACCACGGTTCACCCTAGCCCTTGGTGGCAAGAGCCACGACACCCACCTGTCCGCCCACTGCACCTCAGTGGCAGATGCTGGATCGCAGTGTCCCCTTTGGCTGATGGGGGTGGAAGGCGGCGTTAGGGGCGCTTAGCACGTGTTAGCTCCTCAGGTGGCTCCTCAGGTGGCTGCGGGCCGCAGCGGTGTCTCTAGTGAGGGCCGCTGAGTGGTGGTTGGCGCGCAGAAGCTAAGGTGGAGAAGCCGGCAGTGCGTGTCCCGAGCGCTCGCTGTGAACTGAGGGATGCAGGCAGGTGGCGACTGCATGTGCCTGGAGCATAGTCTCGCGTAGTACTCAGGGCAGTCCTGACTGCAGGACCAAACTCCGCTACTTACCCAGGCTGCTGGCCTTCTTCTAAAGGGGGCGGATGCCCCGGAGAAGGAGTGGCCACAGCAGCCTGGGATCTCGAAAGATATCTACCGCAACCCCTTCTCCCAACGCCCGTGGGCCTGAACATACGGGCACTCTAACCCTTGGTCAGAGGAGCCCTGGTGGCTGCGGTAGTTAAAGCCTCGGCTGCTACCCGAAAGGTAGGTGGTTCAAACCCACTAGCAGCTCCGCGGGAGAAAGATGTGGCAGTCAACTTCCGTAAAGATTATAGCCTTGGAAACCTATGGGCAGTTGTACCCTGTCCTATAGGGTCGCTATGAGTCAGAATCGACTCCACTGCAATGGATTTTTTTGTTGTTGTTAACTCTTGGTCAAGGGCATCCGGGACTCCAGTGGATGCTGCACACCAGGAGATAAGGAGCTCCTGTTTTGGGTCTTGTATTGTAGATGTAGTATGTGCACAGACACGTATGATCTTGATTTATGTTTTCAGCATCTGTAAAGCAAGAAGTTCCCAGAGTTATTTACCCAAAATATGGCAACCTTGGATAAGGAAGCTGCCATTGGCCAGATCTGATGACAATAACCCAAGAGTCTGTAAAAATGTGTGGATTTGGCAGATTGTTGACCAGGGCAACCAGTGCTAAGATAACTGCCAAAGTCTGGTTCAGATATAGAAACTGATGATGCCACGTGCACACACACCAAGAGGGTACTAACAGGTTTACTATTCACATCTGGGAGTTTTTGAGGTGAGCAGGACATGCTCCCTAAAATGGTCTGAAAATGGCTTGATAGAGCAGGGAAATGAGATGAGCTTTGGGTGTTTATTGTGTTTAGAGGGTGGGGTTAGGGTGAGGGCTCCTGCGTGGGCTGGCTGGGACTGG